GAAAAGGAAGGGAAGGGGCAAGTCAAGGAACATATAGCAAGGACTCGTGGACAAAGCCAAAGTGGGGAAGGATTGAGGGAGGGATAAAGGGGAGGGGGCCAGGGGAAAGTGGTGGGGGGAAGGTGGAGACAAATGTATTTGCAAAAATAATTTAAAAAAAGATACCTCTGAAAAGAGTCATTATTTTATAGCAGTTGTTTGGGATCTGCCCCCAAATAAGTAGGAAAGCCCCCTATTGGACGTATTTTGTATCAAGCTCCTCTTTTTAATAAAGAATGCTGGCCTTGTTTTGGCTCAACTTTTCTTAACACAGGCATCCCTTAACTTTTTGTTGTTCATTAAAGCTTTCTATTATCATGTTCCTACAAATTCATCAGTCCTCTAAAATTCATTGCTATTAAATATTACAATTTTGACCTCAGACTGGTTAGTGTTACATCCCTCTTTGACTATAAAAGAAAAATTACGGTTTTTAATCTTAAAAAATTTACACATTCCGTAATTTTTTAAGTGACTCTAGGAGATTCAGAGTCATACTGGTCAAAAACTCCTGCCATAAAGGATGCCTGGGTTAAAATGAACCTATGTGTTCAAGGTTCCTATTATGTCTGCTGCCACATAACCTGCTGGTAGTTCTACAGAGGTAACTCAAATACAATGGCACATTAGTCACACTTCACATGGGGGCATTTAAACTTAAAAAAAACTTTTATTTTGAAATATTTTGACTTTATTGAAAAGTTACAAAAATACCTAAAGAATTCTTTACTCAAATGCTCAACTTACCCTTTGAACATTCAATTTTAAAAAGTTCAATTTGAGTTTTTGATTATATTATAATTCAAGCTACTGGAACAATGGACTAATTTAATACCTAAGGAGTAATAAAAGTAATAATCTTAGTGTAGGACAACCCCCAAATCCCTAAATCTCAGAAACTATAAGATCTTTCCTAACTCCTTGTGCAGCAAAACCTGACTGCGCCCATTTTACAGTCATTCCTCAGTAGTCATCAGCTTCAGAACTCGCCAAACCCTGTACCCATCGCATTTTGAGAAAAAAATGTTTCAGTACTTGGTGCTTGCTGGGGACTCTTTGCACTTGCTAGAACTTGTGTGAGTCATGACGCTGTACCCCACCCCCCACCTCAAAGAGAAAATGCTTCATCATTAGGTACTTGCAGGTTGTAGCACTTGACTCGAGTTCTGGAACAAATTAATGGTAAGTACCAAGGGTTTCACTGTATACTGTAAACGGTTCTATATTTCACTGCAGAAATAGTATTGTCTGATTATGCAATGCTGCCCCAGATCTACTGGGGGTGAATATAATATAGTAAATGTACTATACCCCAGAATTTCAGGTAAAAAAGGTCACTGTATCTTATTTACTGAGTGCCAGGTACTACATTATTATTTCAATCTTCTCGAAAGTAAGTAAGTTCAATCTTGCCCAACATCACCTAATGTGTACCAAATGGTAGAGGCAGTATTTAAATATAGGTTTGAGTCAAAGCCTTAACCACTTTTAAAAGTTGAGAAAAATCACTGAAAATGAGCCTCTTAAAAACAGAACAAAGGTGAAAACAATTCTTTTAAAAGATTTAGTATTTGCTTCTTCACTCCTAACAAATAACACTGCCATCACCTAAAACCTTGGTGATTTTCATATTGAATGGCTGAGAAAACATGGGCATCTCAAAGAAGGTACTTCTAAGTGTGTTTTTTTCCTCCCATAGTCTACCCCTAAAGCACAGAGCCTTGTTTATTTATCTTGTTACTTATATACCACCTTTTAGCAATTAAAATTTTCTGTAGTTCTGATTTTGCCATGCATTAAGTTCAATAAATATGTCTTCTGTATTCATCTAAATCAGTGCTTCTCAAGTAAGGGTGATTTTGCTTCTGTCCTACCTCAGGGGACATCTGGCAATGTCTGGAGACATTTTTTGTTGTCACAACAGAAGGGGAGTGTGTGTGCGTTACCAACATCTCGAGGGTAGAGGCCAGAGATACCGCTAAACACCCTAAAATGCACAAGCCAGACTTCTACAAGAAAGGATTCTCTGGCTCAAAATGTCAACAGTGCCAGGATTTAACTCACTGACGAAAATGCTGAACAAGGATGAACAAAATAGCCCTGGCTGGTGGCTCAGTCGGCTGAGTGCTGGCTTGTGAACTGAAAGGTCAACTGGTTTGATTCCCACTCAGGGCACTGGGTTGCAGACCAGGTCCCCATTTGGGGACGTGAGAGAAGCAACCAATCTATGTATCTCTCACACATCAATGTTTCTCTCACACATCGATGTTTCTCTCCCTCTCTTTCTCCCTTCCTTCTCTTCTCTCTAAAAATAAATAAATCTTTTAAAAAATGAACAAAATATTGGGATTAAAGAGGTTTCCAAGCTGACTAATTAGTAATATTCTTTAAGTATGCCTTTCAACTAGTTGGGAAGTCATGTTAATACTTTATTATTCATCCAACTTCTGAAGACAGACTACTTTAAATTCAGTTAGCAGCAAAACCATTTTTCCTTTAAAAATACATGGGCCATTTAACAGCAAAGAAATGGAAAAATTCAGTTACATAGATGAAAGTTTTTTTGTTTTGTTTTGTTTTTTTCACTGAACTGACTCCCAAAATGAATGACAGATCATCTTAACTAGCAGACTGGATCAAAGTCAGATGTTACAGTTCAACTTGTGGGCAAATACTCCATAGCTTAGTGCAATGAAAGGGAATGAAAACAAAATATTATTTCAACTTTTAAAACTGCTAATTTTTTTTCAATCCTCACCTAAGATTATATTTATTGATTTTAAAGTATGGTGGTGCAGAGAACATCAATGTGAGAAACATCAATTGGTTGCCTCCCATACAGGCCCTGACCGGGGATGAAATCTACAATCTAGATATGTACCCTGACCAAGGATTGAACCCATAACCTTTTGGTGCATGGGATGATGCTCCAACCAACTGAGGCACCTGACCAGGGGCAAAATTGGTAAATTACTTTTTTTTTTTTTTTTAAAGAAGAGTCAACTCAGTGAGATAATTAAACAGGTATTGTCAAATGGAAATTAAAACTGGCTTAACCTTAATTTACTACTAGATCCACCTTATAAATGAAAAAACTGAGGCACAAAGTAGCTAGGTGCATTACCTTAAGATGACATAGCTAGCAAGATGCTGATCAGAGAAATTTGAACTCAGGCAGCCTGGTTCTAGTTTGTGCTCTTAACCACTCCATTTTATTATTTCTGTTTTACAGAATTTTTTTACAATTATTTAAAATGCATCAAAAATGGAAGATAAAAATTAAAGGACAAACAAGACTGATGAATATGTTCAAATGTATGTAACAGACTGAGATGAGATATAAACAGGGACACCTTAAAAGAAATAAAAAATTTAAGAGATCAGCCTCTCTAATGATTACAGTCAAAAAAGTTGAATAACATTCAAGTGCAGGTATAACTAAAAGAGACACTCTGATACTTTTTTGGATGAAGGTACAAAGTAGTACTTTGGAGAGAAAACTTGGAGTTTCTTTAAAAAGTTTAAATGAATGTAGTCTCTGACCCAGTCTGGGAGTTAATCCTACAGAAATATCACACAAACAATTTGTTCAACAATATTTATTACAGCATTATTTGTAACAATTAAAAACTAGAAATAAGCTAAATGTTCATGAATATGGGAATAATTAAATAAATTAGTACAAAGTAGTCACAGTTGGTATAGACAACTTAAAAATAATGAGGCAGATTTGCATTAACAAGAAAGGAGGTCCATGCTATGTTGTTAACGGCAAAAAAGCTAGCTGCAGAAAAAAAGTATGTGCCTTTATATTTGAGCAGGCACAAACCAGTTATTTTAAACTTCAAATATATTATGTCAATTTCCAAATACATTAGTTTCAAAATGTACAAAGGAATTACCTCACATTTGATAAATAGAAGGCATTACTTTTCTCCTGGAAGCCAACCAGGAAAAAGGAAAACCACCTTTACGAATATTTATGTCTTGAAACACACACAAAAAAATGGATAACATCATCTAATAATATAACATGTTTTGAAAAGGCGGAAGGTTTATTAGAATAATAATAATTCTGATGCTATCTTTTCAATTTATGAAGTAGTAAAATTGGAAGGGAATCTGAGTTTACCTAGTACAACCCCCTACATCATACAAATGAGGCCCAGAGAAAGGAAGTAATTTGCACAAGTTTTCACACATATTAAAGAGACTGAAGAGGAAGGAATTCATTCAGGGTTTTTTTAAACTCTAAATCCAGGATCTTGACTTTTGAAAGGCATTATCTAATAATTTAGTGGGCTACTTACAGTACTTGGAATCCATAGTACTCTGTATAATGGGGCATTTTTGGTCTAGCACTTTCAGAAAGCAGCAAACTCATCTCTGTTGCATTACCTGTACTCACACTCATTACAGAGTAAAAGTTTCCCAAGTGCCTTTCTTTCACATCACTGGCCTTCAAATGAAATCTTACTGGAATCCCAAAGTAGAAAGGATTGTAAAAAAGTGAGCTGCTCTGAGCAAAACTGTGCATGAGTCCTGCTAAGAATCACTGCTTTGTCCCTGAAGTTTCTAAAAATACTTTCATGGTATCTTAGGTCTCAGAGATAGACAGACACACACACTGCAAGTCCAAATTTTTATTAGGATCACATTATACAAAACCAGCTTAAGTTTCTAAATGCTTATTTTTAATTTGTATATTTATCTTTTCATGGATCAGTAACAAATAGCTCACAGACCACACTTTTGATAACTCTGTCATATCAAACAACCTTAAAAGACGTTCCTGACTTTGGGAGTGGGGCGGGGGAGGTGGTGGGTGGCAGGGGTTGGGACAGGACAGAGCAACGGAGAAAAAGGTGGGACAACTGTAACTGAACAACAACTAAAAATTAAAAAATGTTCCTGATAAAATCAGAACATCTGATATACTAAGGAAGAAGTTAGAAACTTACTTCTTATCGAAAAATGTTGAATTTTCTTTCCTCTTGGTGAATCCATTGGGTAGAAGTTTTAAGTTAATACCTTGCCTTCGGGCACGGTTTTTCATAAAGTACATCTAACAACCAAAAACAATTAGACAAATTAATTTTTAAATGTCTTAAGTTTTAACAGTGAATAAAATAACTTTCAAAATATAACAGTTAAGATTTATTGAGTACTTATGTTTCATAAACTGTGCTAAGAAGCAATGTCATTTAATCCTCACAATACTATGAGACAGGTACCTACTCCATTACTTCCATTTTGGCAGTGAGAATTAATGAATGCCAACACTACACAATCATTTCTGAGAGGAAGAGACTGTATTCAAATCCAAGTCTGTGTAATTCCAGAGCCAGTGCTTTTACCCATATGCTCTACAAGCCAAGAGAAGGATTTCAAAAAAACACAGGTCATTTGGCAATCATAGGGGCTACCTATACAGTTCTTTCTTTTTTACTGATGGTTTTATAAAATATATATCTGCTTTTATTATTGGACAGGTACTTTATTCAGGGGAGGAATCATGGTACTGTCTAGTACAAGCCTAACAGAGATATTACTAAAAAAAAATGATCAAGTATAAGTACAAGTTTCTTGGTTAAATAAATGGCAATCAAGAATTTGCAACGCAAAGAGTTAAGACAACCAAGACACAAGCCAAGGGAAATCATTTTTAAACTTTAAGCTTTAAGTTTAAACTTAGCTTAAAGTTTAAAAATGATTTAAGAAATTATATGCAATTTTATAAACTTTGGTTTCAACTGTGGCAGTGGTTATAACGACCTACCCTCCCAATGAAAACATCTAAGAATGCCAGATAATGGGGAAAACACATATATGTAATAAAATGTATTTTAATATCATCTTAAAAGCATGGAAGAACTGACAGAAACAGTAAAATACAGGCCAATTTTAAGAAAACAGTGAGAACTCAGAGAGGTAAGCAAAGTAATGAATCCACTTTTGCACATTCTGGAAAATACAAGCTTCCTCTATCAAGAGCCTCGTCAGCAAGAGGGTCAAAGTCGAGACCTCGTAAATTTCTAGGAAAACCTTCTCAAATGAAGCTGAGGCACAGGAAAAGGGTCAACCAGATATAAACTCAAACTCCAGAGCATGCTAGGAAGTTTGTACTGGTCTAATTAGAACAGGAGGGGGAAAAATCTATTAGAAGTTGTGGTCATGGGCTAGCCCTGGCACAGATTTGAAATGAAAATTTGCCTTGCCTGTGTGGTCAAGAGAATCTTAAAACTTCAACTTGATTTCAGATAGACCCAGATTCACAATGTTCCAAGGAACCTGGTAGAATAAAAGGCCTGTTTGTCCCATCTTCAAAAAATTCTCACAAAAAACAAAAAGCAGTACTCAAAAAAATAAACAAGTATAAATACAAGAAAAAAGACTCAGTAAGCAGGAGACAAAAGAGACAAAAAGAGGCCGATGAGAGTTCCATATACATCAACTTAAAAGATTAATCCACAGATTATAGAATAGTTCTGCAAAATTTAAAGGAATAAAATAAAGCCTAAAAATATCTGAAACTATAAAAGGTGACTTAGATTTTTAAAAGAACTAAATAAAACTAGAAATGTTCTAGAATGCAATACAAAGGTAAAAAAGAATGAAAAAAAAAAAGAAAACAGGTTGAAGGATAGATAAGATGTAGGGTGAAGACCTAAGCCACATTTAATGGTAGTTTTAGAAGAAAAAGAATAAGGCAGAGGTAATATTTTGATAGAAATCAGCTGATACTTTTGCAGAAATGAAGAAAAACACTAGACAGTTTCGAAAAACATAACATTTTCCAAATAAGGTGAATAAAAATAAATTTGTGTTTTCATATAGTAAAAATGCAGGGCTTCCAGCCAAGATGAAGGCATAGGTAGCTACGTTTTGCTTCCTTGTACAGCTAAAAGAAGGATAACCACCAATTTAAATACAAAAAACAACCAGAACTACCAGAAAGTCGAACTGTATGGAAGTCTGACAACCAACAAGTTAAAGAAGAACATTAATCCAGACTGGTAGGAGGGGCAAAATGGGCGGCTGGGTTGGAGAGGACACATGGCAAGGTGGCAGTTGGCAGACAGGACAGTCCCCCATTTGCGGGTGGATAAACTGGGAGGAACAACTGGGGAGCGAGACTGAGCACACAACACAGGGTTCCAGCATGGGAAACTAAAACCTAAAAACTTCTGGTTGTGAAAACCTGCGGGGCTTGCGGCAGCGGGAGAAACTGCCACTCTCACAGTAGAGTCCACTGGAGGGGCCCATAGGGTCCTGGAATGTACACAAGCCCACTCACAGGGGAATAAGCATCAGAAAGGTGCTATTCACTTGTGGGTGGCAGGGGAAATGACTGAAGGTGGGGCGAGAGCCGAGCAAGCAGCGTTATTGCTCCTCTCACGCCTCCCCCACATACAGTGCCGTAACACTACGAAGAGGGTTGCCCCACCCTGGCAAATACCTAAGGCTCTGCTCCTTACAATGTAACAGGTGTACTGAGACAAAAAAATATGCCCCAAATGAAAGAACAGAAAAAGAACTAAGTGACAAGAAGATATTCAACCTATCTGATGCAGAGTTCAAACGCTGGTAATCAAGATGCTCACAGAAATGACTGAGTAGGGTCACAATATAAAGGAAGAAGTAAAGGCTATACAAAATGAAATAAAGGAAAATATACAAGGAAACAACAGAGAAGGAAACTGGAACTCAAATTAATGATTTGGAAGAAAAGAAAGAAAGAAACATTCAGCCAGAATAAAATGAAGAAACAAAAATTCAAAAAAATAAGGAGAGGCTTAGGAACCTCTGGGACAACTTGAAATATTCCAACATCAGAATCATAGGGATACCAGAAAGAGCAAGAAATTGAAAACTTATTTGAAATAATGAAAGAAAAATTCCCCAATTTGGGGAAGGAAATAGACATACAAATCTCGGAAGCTCAGAGAATCCTGAAGAAGCTGGACTTAAAGAGGAACACACCAAGACACATCATAATTAAATTACTGAAGATGAAAAATAAGGAGAGAATCTTAAAAGCAGCAAGAGAAAAGCAGACAGTTACCTACAAAGGAGTTCCCATAAGAGTATCAGCTGATTTCTCAAAAGAAGCCTTAAAGGCAAGAAGGGGCTGGAAAGAAATATTTGAAGTCATGAAAAGCAAGGACCTACATCTAAGCTTACTCTATCCAGCAAAGCTGTCATTTAGAATGGAAGGGCAAATAAAGTGCTTCCCGATAAGATGAAGTTAAAGGAGTTCATCCTCACCAAGCTCTCATTATATGAAATGTTAAAGGGACTTACCTAAGAAAAAGAAGATCAAAACTATGAACAGTAAAATGACAACAAACTCACAACTATCAAAAGCTGAACCTAAAATAAAAACAAAAACAAAAACAAACTGAGCAACAACTAGAACAGGAACAGAATCACAGAAATGGAGGTCACATGAATGGCTATCAGTGGGGAGAGGAGGAGGGGAGAATGAGGGTAAAGGTACAAGGAATAAGAAACATAACTGGTGAGTACAAAATAGACAGGAGGAGGTTAAAACAGTAAAGGGAGTGAAGAAGCCAAAGAACTTATATGTATGACCTATGGACGTGAACTAAGCAGGGAGAATGCTGGAGGAAAGGGGGATACTGGGCAGAGGGGGATAAAGGGGTAAAAAAAAATGGGACAACTATAATGGCATAATCAATAAAATAAAAAAGCAGAACAGAAAAATAATGCAGCCAGAGAAAAAAGATTTTAAATGTAGTCAAAAATGACGGATGACTTACAACAACAATGGAAACCACACTGATACTGGAAAAACAAATTTGAACAGAATGCTACAAAGAAAAATCATTTAACAGTGAGGCTGAAATAAAAAAAGCCCAAACAACAGAAAGAGTAATCTAAGATTTGGCAATCGGCAAACCCTCTCTAAAGGATAGTCTAAAGGATGTGCTTGAGGCAGACAGCGATCTCTCAGATGGAAGGTCTAAGATGGTGAATGAAGGTATAAAAAGAAAAGAAAGTTGGAAATAGAAGATAAACCAAAATAAACATTGACTGAATAAAGCAGTAATTATCGTATGAAGGTTTTTAAAAAAATACTCTTAAGTACCTAAAAACAATAAGAAAAGTCAGTAGAGAGTTAAATGATATTTAAGAGTTCCAAAATAACTGCTAACTAATCCTGCCTGTTGCCTATTTTTATAAACAATTTTTTTTGGAATACAGCCCCACCTACCTGTTTATGTACTTGTTTATGGCTACTTTCCTACAATGGTGGAGAAGAGTAGTTGTGACAGTGACCATATGGCCTGGAAAAAGTATTTGCCATCTGATCCTTTATAGAAAATGTTAGCCAATTCCTATTGTAAGATCCCAGCATTATCTAGTCACAGAGTTAAGATACTGATTAACTTTAGATACTGGTAAAGTAAGTTAATTGTTTTGAACAGATTAGATGAAGCAGAGGACCAAATCAGTGATGTGGAAAACAAGGTAGTGAAAAACACTCAACTGGAACACCTAAAAACAATTTTAATAAGAATGAGGACTGTTTAAAGGACCTGTGGGACCACATCAAGTGTATCACAGAGGTACCAGCAGAAGAGAAAGCACAAGAAATTGAAAATCTATTTGAAGAAATAATGACTAAAAAATTCCCTACTCTAAGCAAAGGAAATAGACATGTAAGTCCAGGAACTGCAGAGTCCCAAACAAAACAGATTCGAAGAGGCCCACACCAACATGTCATAATCAAAATGTTAAAGGCTAAAGACAAAGAGAGAACTGTACAAGGGAGCTCCCATAAGACTGTCAACTCATTTCTGACCAGAAAACTTTGCAGGCTAAAAGGGATTGGCTCAAAATATTCAAAGTGATGAAAAGCCAAGAACCTACAAGCAAATTACTCTACTTTAGTAAGGCAATCACTTAGAATGGAAGGAGATAAAGATCTTCTCAGATAAGAAAAAGCTAAAGGAGTTTATCATCATGAAACCAGTATTGCAACAAATGTTAAACAGACTTCTTTAAGAAGAGTAACATGAAAAACATGAATTAAATGGC